TCTATACCTCCTCCTTTCCCAACACTTTGAACTTGTTCTTTGGTAAATGCTGCCCTATTGTTCTCAAATGGCTGACCATTCTGTGGTGTGAGTACCTAACTAATATTGCTGTCCCCCTTATAGAACTATCTATTGCTTGACTGGGACTCCTGGTGTGGTGCTGTGGGTTAATGCGCTGGACTGCAATGTCGGTTTGAACTGCAAGGTCAGCAGTTCAAGCTCACCAGCTGCTCCTCGGAAACCCTACACAGGGTCTCTGTGAGTCGGAATCAACTAGACGGCACTTAACAACGATGATCACTTGACTGAGAAATGAGCTAAGTAGTGAGTTCAGTTCAGACTTGAAGAGTGACCAAGAACCATAGTCTTGGGGTTCCATCAGTTTCTGTCTGACCAGTAATCTTGGTCTGTTTTATGATTTTGATTTTTAGTCCACAGTTTTTCTCACTCCATCCAAAACCTTTTTTTCTTAAACTTTTTATTATGAATTGGGTGAATGTTTACAGAGCAGGTTCATCAGTTTTACAAATCATACACATTTTGCTTCATCTAATTCACAACAGTCCCCCCTCAGTGTAACATCACTTATCCTACTTCTCTGTTTTCTATTTCTGTTCCTTCTTCTTTCATAACCCTTTCAAACTTTGTCCTTGGGTAACTGCTGTCCTTCTGTTCTCAACTGGCTGATGATTCTAAGGTGTGCATACCTTATTAGTGTTACTGTTCCCTTTATAGACCTGTCTGTTGTTCGGCTGAAAATTGAGCCACAGGGATTAGTTCAGTTCCAGACTTAAAGGGTGACTAAGGGCCAGAGTCTAAAGGGTTCCACCAGTCTCTATCAAACCAGTAGTCCAGGTCTGTTTTATGATTTTGAGTTTTGTTCCACATTGTCGTCTCCCACTCTTTATGATCCCTTTCAGAGCAGCTCCATCTCGTTCTTGTGGTCTCAGGATCCTGGAGGCTGATGTTAACGTGGTCCATTAGTCCATTGGACTAATTGTTTCCATATTTTTTCGATTTTTATTACTCTTCTTTCCTCCAGATAGAGAAAAACTAATAGTGGCACCTTAGATGACCACTTATGAGCTCTTAAGACTCCAGTTGCTACTCATCAAAGTAGGATGGACAACATTGTCTTTGTGGACTATGTTATGCTATTTGACCTTGGTGTCTCTTGAAACTATGGTCCTGAGCCCCCAGACCCAGCAACTCATTCCCTCAAAGTGTTTGATTATATTTAAGAAGTTTTCATAACTTTTCACCCTGTATGCTCCTCCATATTCATGGATATATTTAAAGCAAAAGTAAAATACCCATCTATAAATATCCTCTGTCAAACCTATATATGTCTGTATACTTCTACTCTCTCTCCCGTATCTGTTCAGGCTGCATGTCTATTGAACTGTATATTGCCATCCCCTTCACCCAAGTAACAAATATATTAATTTCTTTCCCAAGTTTAAAAGAGTCTGTTCTATCTCAATATCTTAACTTCCTCTCCGAGTTCTGTAACTACACTATTCCTTCTTTTTACTTTGTAATTGTCTTTCTTTTAACAAATTGTTATCTCTGGTTCCCTATTTTCTGTGTTGTAGGTTTGTTTTACTTGGATACTTCTGTTTCTGAGTTGACTTGTGGATGGTGTTGCCATGTATATTAATCTCAAGTTGCTGTCTACTGTTATTGGTTCTCTTTCCAAAGAACTCCCTTTAGTGTTTCTTGTAAGGTTAGTCTGCTTTTTACAAATTGCTTTCATTTCTGTTTATCTGGAAATATCCTAATCTAGGTATATGACTCTTGGTTGACTTTTTTTTTTTTTTTTTCAGAATTTTGTATGTGATTTGCTTACATGATTTCTGTTGAGAAATCAGAGCTTTCTTATTGTTTCTCCTTTGTGAGTAACATCATTTTTCTCAAGCTACTCTCAGGATTCTTTCCTTGTCTTTGGTTTTGGAGAGTTTATGTCTTGGTGATTTTCATTTGGGGTCTATTCTGTTTGGGGTTATTCTGCTTCTTGAATGCATATTTTCTCATCTTTCATGTTAGGGGCATTTTGTTCCAACAACTCTTCAACAATTTTCTCTGTCCTTTATTGTCTCTTCCTGTTCTAGAATTCCAGTCTCACATAAGTTATTCCTCTTGATTGTTGTTGTTGTTGTTACATGCTATTGCGTGGGTTCCGACTCAGTGACCTTGTATAGGGTTTCCAAGGAAGAGCTGGTGGGTTTGAATTGCCAACCTTGTGGTTAGCAGTCTACTGCTCATCCAGCTGGGCCACACCAGTATCCCACATAATTCTTAGGCTTTCTTCATATTTTTTTTGTTCTTTTCTGATTGTTCCTCTAGCCAATTAGTACTGGGAGATTTGTTTTCAAGCTCACTAATTCAGTCTTCTTTTAATTCAGTTCTACTCCTTTGCCCTTTCAGTGTGTTATCTATTTCTGAAATCTTCGTATTAATCTTCAGGGTTGTTTTTTGTTTTGTTTTGTTTTTTGCTGTTTTTATATGGTTTCTCTTTTTTTTTCTTTATCAGTTTGTTCTTGTAGTGTTTTTCTGAATTCTTCTAATTTTGTCTATGTTTTCCTTGATTCTGTCTGCAGCTTTCTAAATCTTTCTCTCAATTCATTGAAAGTACCTAAAATATTAAATTCATTATCAGGTGATTCCAATGTCATTTTGTCCTCAAAAAGATCTTCTAGCTATGTGTTTTGGTCACTTGTTTGAGCCACTCTATCATGTTTCTTGGTGTGAACTGAAATTGTCTGTTTTCTTGGAGACATTGTGGTGGTGTTGTATTTGTATTTAATTGATGATTGATATTGGTGTGTTCTTAAGCAGTCACCATCTGACTACTGGTGGCTGTGATAGAGAATGTGAGTGTGTGTAGTTAGTTCTCTATCCATTGCTCATGCATGCAGCACAGTTGAGGATGGGTTTGGCTACTTTTTATCGATCTGGTGGCATAGGAGTAAATACTGGCCCTCACTCAGTAGACTGGGCTGCAGGAGGTAGGGTGTGGCGGGCCATGTGGGCACAATTGTTGTCTCCTGTCCAGTGGGACAAGCAAAAACAAAATTGAGAACAAAACAAACAACAGCAAAAAAAAAGTGTAGGGAAAACAGCCAAGCAACAGGCAATTTTAATAACTAAAAAATAAAAGGAAAATAAAAACAAGGGAAGAGAAAAAAAGAAAGGAAATAGTAAGCAAAACTAGAGAGGGGAAAAAGAAAAGAGAAAGATACTAGTAACGAAAAAAGAAAAGAGAAAGAGAAAGAAGGGAAGGGGCAAAAGAAAAGAAAGAGAAATAATTTTAAAACAAGAGAAGGGAATTTTTAAAAAGAAGAAAAGTGGAGCAAGGTCAGGGCCCAAAGAGGAAAACATTGTGGGTGGAAAGACACTGAGTAGCACCCTCTGCTAGCTCAGGAGCTCACAGGGTAGGGATGGGATACTCAGTCCTAGATGGAATTCCTGCTGACCTAGACGTTGTCTGAGGTCAGAGTACCTGATCTGGAGGTGTTTTGTGCCAACTCAGAAGATGGTTGAGATTAGAGTGCTTATTCCTGGAAGGCAATATTTCCTGCCCAGTGGGCAGCTGGGAGCAGAGCATCTGATTATGGAAGGAGTTCTTGGCCTCCCAGGGGTGACCAGGATCTGGCATTATGCATGTTCCGTTGGTCTAATGCAACAGAGTTCACATGCCTCCAGACTGGGCAGTGGTGCACCTCTTGTGACTCTGACTTCAGACAGACACTGTGCAAGGCAGGAACTGTCACTAACTAGCTAATGGGTCGGGGAGGGTGGGGGCTGGCCATGCTTCTGGTCACCAGCTTCTTTGGGTTGGTATTCAGTCTACTACGCTATCCTTTCCTCTGGAGTTTAGGGTTCCTGGATTACCATTAATATCTGTTTCATTTAGTCTCTTGTGTCTTTGTTGCAGAGGGTCTGTGTGGTGTGTGGTGTATCTGCCTAGTCTGGATATCTTGCCAGAAGTCCTACATTCCCTTTTCTTGACCCAGCAATTTTAATAGCATCACTTCTGCCATATTCTCTGGTCCAAATAGTCACCAAAACTCACGTGAATCTAGGAAAGGAAATAGAGTTCACCACTGAGTGGTGAAGTTACATTGTAGGTGAGCATGTGGAATTGGGAGATACTGTTGTGGCTAGGTTTGTAAAATGCACTGTCACAAAGATTATCATTGTCCTTTGTTTCAGACATGCGTCGTGGCAGTTTAGAGAGTAGTCAGCTAAGAGTGACAAGACTAATAAGAGACAGTTTAAGAAACTTCTCATAGAGATAATATTGCAAGTGGATATTGTTTAGTTTTTAAGATATTTATACCAAACCTATTAAAAATCTGTGATGTTTTTGGTATTTTTGCAGTTTCTGTGCTTTTTATAAATGATTCTAATTTTCTCATTGGAAATGTAGTATGGTCTGCATACCTGTCAATATGTCAACTGAAAAGACACTGAGGACTCACTGTTTACATGAAACTTTAGCTAAGAAAACTAAATCTTATATAAACTAAATAATCACCCAGAATTACAGTGTAAATGAGTGGCAGAAGAGACAGGCTTGTGTGAGTCTAAAGCTTACACTCTTTACCACCATCCAATATTGCCTTCCTGGCAGGAAATCATGAGTCTGGCTACAATATTTCTTTGGTGTGGAATCTGACTGTCTCTTCGAGCATTATATCATGACTATACAATAATGTAACAAAATTTTATTAGAATGAATGGCAGTAGGGGGGCCCCAGGTGAATGAAGTAAATTGTTAGCAGTCACAGAATCCCCAGCAGATGACAGAACTACTTAGCTTTTAGAACTATTTGCTTTCTAGAAAAGACTTTGCCATACCTACTAGAGGGTATTCACCCAGAGTGGAAAGGGAGAGCATTTCAACTCCACTGTGTGGCCTGAGTACTATTGGGCCCATCCTGTCAGTGCCTGGAGTCTGTCATTTGTTTGGTCTTATCAGTGTTTCTCTTTTCTAGGATTATAGCTGAGAAGACAAAGGAGGTTCTGTTTGTTCGGCCCCGGAAGTATATCCACTGCTCCGACCCAGAGCCCGCAGAGCCTGGCTACATCAACATCTTAGAGATGGCAGCATCCGTGTGCCGCTATGACCTTGATGACATGGACATCTTCTGGCTCCAAGAACTGAATGAAGACCTTGCAGCAATGGGTTAGTATGTTTTCTCATAAGTAAATGGTGCTTCAACTCAACTCGTAATTTCTTCTTTCTTTGAATTTTTTTTTTTTTTTTAAGGTCATCAAGACTCTTTAACTTGCTTTCATCTTGTGGTTTCCTTTCCTTTTTGGCCTTTTAATTTAGTTTTTTTTTTTTTTCCTTTGGTCTTGTTTTAGTCATTTTTCAGGTACATAAAGATATGGAAATCACATTTAAATCTGTTCTTTTCTCATTCATCGTAAACAGCACAGATCAGAGATGACAAGTAGGTTTTACAAGGTTGCTTCCTGAGTAACTGTTTCTGGGTAATTTGACTTTTGGTTAAGAAAGATTCTGAAACTGGTTCTTGGCTCACCTCTGATCATTGAGCAGGGGTTTACGATCTTCACCTCATGGAGAGAAGTTTCAATTTCAGCATTTGACTGGTGGCTGTAACCAGTATCCTAAATGTATGACTTGTAGTTTTGCTGCCTAGAGGAGGAATGGCAGGACATAGATAAAAGGTATAAAGCAAAATGCCACCAAAGCAGTTATTAGCTCCAGCAAGTTATAGAGTTGTCATGCAATTCTCAAAAAATACAAGTAAACATATAATGTTTAAGTTAATGTACACCAGAAATGCTAGATGTTGGGCTTAAAGGAAACTTACTTTATGTTTACAAACACTTCTTTCTGATATGTCTTTATTCTGAGCAGTGTTTTAAAGCCTCCATATGAGGCGTAGTGAAGAATATATTTGTTTTCATTTTCTTTCATCACAATTGTTCACAGTAAGGACTATTGATTTTTCTTTTCTTCCCTTTCCCTTTTCTTTGTTTTGAGTCTTTCTATTGAATCTGGCATCTGAAAAAAATTTTTTCATTGTGTTAAGTCCAGTTTGGCATGGCAACGTTCATTGTTCTGCCAGTAATCTCTTCTTCACTCCCTTTGAATCGATTCCTCAAAGTTAGCAGCCCTCTAGGACAGAGTAGAAATGCTCCATAGGGTTTCTGTAAATCTTTATGCGAACAAACAGCCTCATCTTTCTCCTGCGGAGTACTTGGTGGGTTTAAACCACCAACCTTGTGGTTAGCAGTCCAGTATTTAATCCGCTGAGCCACCAGACCTCTAGCTTCTCTTTAATCTTTGCTTTTTTATGTGGAAAAGGGGGAAAGTCTTTTGATCCTGTGTCTTTTGTTCCGTTTATGATGGGAAAGAAGAGAATAAAAGGCTGAAGGGGAAGGAAAATCACAGTATGAGAGCATAATCAAGTGGATTTGATAGCTTTAAATGTTCTGTTATTTTTAATGAGCGGCATCTGTATATATTACCATTATTACAGTGCTACCCTGCAGCAAGAAATCACCATATTGGTATTTTGCAACCAATTCCCCTTGTATGGAGTATTTTCTTGGTTGCTTTGTTTTTTAAACAAATTTTATTTGTAGAAAAGTTGCACATTTAATACAGAGTTCCTATATACCCTTTACACATTTTCATTTCCCCTAATATACATTATTACCATGGTACATTTTGTCAAAACTAGGAAACCAACACAGGTACGCTACTATTAAGTAAATTCCAGGCATTTATTGGGATTGTACCGATTTTTCCATTAATGACTTTTCTTCTGTTCCAGAAACCCATCTAGGCGACCACATTGCATTTAGACTTGGATGAATTTTTAAAAGACGATTATGTTATCTGAATTTTTCCTTTAGGGTGACTAATACTGTAGTGAGGCTTCTACGAACTTAAAATAAGCTTTTAAAAACAAAATTAAATTAGGTATATTTTGGTTAATTTAAAAATTAAGTTTCAAAATTCTAAGTGTTTCCTTGTATCTCAGATTGGGAAATTTTTTAATTGAGTGCTTGCTAAATACCAGGCACTGTACAAAGCAATTTATGAACATTATGTCATCTCAGCCTCACAACAAATTGATGAGCTTGGTATCATTATCCTTATTTTATAGATAAGGACATCCAGGTCAAAGTTTGCCTATGAAGTCAAAGTTGGAATTTGAATCCAAGTGCTCTGATAACCACACTATACTTCTTCACTCTAACAAAAATACATACACTGTTTGTGTTTAATTTGTCTTTAAAAAAAAAAACAATGAAACATAAGGCCTGGGAATCTTTGGATTCATAAGTAGCCACGACAATTTAAAAAGGAAGTTTATGTGAAATTCTAAAATTCCTTGTTGTTGTGAAGTGCCGTCGAGTCGGTTCTGACCCATAGCGACCCTGTATAGGGTTTCCGCGAAGCGGCTGGTGAGCTTGGACCACTAACCTTGTGGTTGAAACTGTCTTTGTAGTACAGCGCATGTACCCTTAGCACCACACCAGCATTATTTTACGACTGAAATGAAATACTTTGGTAAATGTGTTTTTTATTATTGTGAGGATTATTCTTGTAGTTTATAAACTTTTGGAATAAATAAGTGTTTTAATCAAATTATTAATCTTCATAAGAAAAATGTTTCATTGTCACCAAAATCTACCATGTGAATCTTTTAGTTGAGTTATTAAATGTAGAATGCTAAGAAAAAATAGAAGTAAAGAAGGAAAAAAGAATCAAGGCACAAAAAGGATAAGTTTGGGAATGGTAGTTAGATCTCTATGAATACGAATAGGTTTATATTATAATGGTTTCCCATAGGAAAATAATTGGTTTTTTTTAAAAAAAATAAGTTTGAAAACAAAGTATTTCATATTTATAATACAGTGCCTAGAATTTTCTTTTAGGGCTTAGTACCTTTTTGTGTGAGCATTTCCTTGTATAACCAGTAGATGTCTAAATGGTTACGTGGGTTTAATTATTTCATACCCTATAAATTATTGAAAATTAGAAAGCTCAGTGAATGTCCTTCCTCAGTGGGAGTAAGGAAAAAATGGAAAGAAATTTAGGAGACAGGCTCTGAAGGAATATAATAAAAAATATATAATTCTGTTTTCATGTGTCAATCACTAATATGTGACTATAAGTAAATATAGAATAGCTCCAGTAAAAGGTTCTTTGAAATCTAGTTGTTTTAGAGCAGGAGCGAGATGGTTTTATCCTTAAGTATCCCTTCCACCCTAGCATTAGGCTCACAGTAGGTGATTTGGGAATGACAGCTTACTGATGGGTTGATTGATTGTTTGTATTTCTGTGCAGGTTATGGGCCAGTTGATGAGACTCTTATGGAAAAGACAGTAGAAGTCCTGGAACGCCATTGCCATGAAAATATGAACCATGCTATTGAGACAGAGGAAGGGCTAGGCATAGAGTATGATGAAGATGTGATCTGTGATGTGTGCCGGTCTCCAGACAGTGAAGAAGGGAATGATATGGTATTCTGTGATAAGTGTAACGTCTGTGTACATCAGGTTAGTGAGAGTGGAGACCACTACCTCCCCAAAGTTGGCCTTTCTGAAGCTCAGTAATGATCTCCAGCACCCATGTCTGGGTTGCTGTATTTAAGGGTGAAAATAAAGATTTGTCTAGCATATCTTTAGTATTTCCTCTTAAGATCCTCAGGGTGACCTACCTGTAACTTCACCCCAGGGATGGGATAAACCTAGGTCTGTATTGTGTCACTTTATGCCCAGACCATTGATAACTGCCTTATTCAATACTATTTATACTCCCCCCGGGTGTCTTCCTGCGACCTGTGTGGGAATTTCTCCTCTGCCTTTCAAACCCTTTTATGTCCATGAAGTGTTTACATTCCATACAAATGGAAATCGGGACTCCTTATCCTGGTTCCCCTATTCCCCTAATATATCACTCCTGGGAAAGTAGGTCCATCGTATTTTTAAAGCTCATAGAATTTTAAGACTGTCAAGGATTGTCCAACTCTCCAGTTTTGCAGATAATATCAGGAGAGATGAAGTATCTTATCTAAGCTCTTTCTGCCACACTACCTTTTTAATTAACAATAGTAATGATGGTGATACCAATATTCTTTTTATCTCTTTCCCTCCACAGGCCGTATGTGCTAGCTAAACAAGGTTATACAGGTCCAGTGATGAATAGTCCTGTATTATCATCATGGTTCAGCCATACCCCAATTTAAAATGCCTTCTCCCATTCCCCAGCTCCCCCAAATCTACATATCTTCCAAGTCCTACTTCAAATCCCTTCTTGGATTCCCCTATCTTAAATGAGTTTTCACTCTTTAGAACTAGTGTATTTCACTCATTTCATTAATTTATCTAGCACAAATAGGTGTTCAGCGCTATCTAAGTTGCTCAGTGTGCCAGGACTGTGCTGCATGATGAAAATACAGCCAGTTAAGAGGTAGACAGGTCACTACCCTCAGGGAGATCAGAGCCGGAAGTAAGGACTATTGAACTGCCAAGTGTTTTTATGCATAAGTCCATACTGCTGTGGAAGTGTATGAGAGGTATTAGGATCAGGAACAACTTCCAAGGAGCAGGGCATCGAAGCTGAATCGTATTGCCCAAAAGGAGATGCCAAGTAAAATAGCATGGTTTGTTTAGGCAGAAAGGAGAATCTGTTCAAACAGGGTAGTAAGAGTGAGCAAAGTATCTGAGAGTAGAAAGGGGTGCCAGGGACCACTGTGAAGAGCCTTCTCTTTCATCAACCCAGAGGGATCTGGTTACAGAATTAGCCTAGATTAGACTAGACAACACAGAAAGGAGAAAAGGTAGGGTTTAAAACTTTTTTTTTAAATTATATGTGGGTTACTTTTGTATGTAAAAGATACTCAAAATTATTCTTACTTGACCAACGCTTGGTTTTTCATTCACTGTGCCCTTTAAAATAGTGTTTTGAAAATTTATCTTCATTCTACCATTTATTACCATTTAGGTCACACTTTTATAGAGAGCAGAAAGTTTTCATCATTTAGGTATGAACTTAAGTATCAGACAGTACAAATCTATAGTTCCTTCTCTGTAATTCCAAAATTGTGAAAGTTGTGAAAAACTAAAGTTTTTGTTTAACTTTTGAGCCAAAACTAATTTGAGCACACCAGCATTCACTTAATATGAGGTTGTTTATAATCTATACCATTTTGCATAAATACCCATGCTTTTCTAAAGAAAACTATTAATATGTTTGATTATATAACACTGCCCTCTGGTCCCATTAGGGGGGTTAGATAATCTAATATATATATATATACTGTTATTTTCCTAATTGCTGAACAATTCTGAATTTCTTAACTGTTTCTCATCCTGTTGTTGGTGGTGGTGTTAAGTGCTGTCAAGTCGGTTCTGGCTCATAGCAACCCTGTATAGGGTTTCCAAGGGCCTGCTGGTGAGCTTGAACCTCTGACCTTGCAGTTCAAATCAACCTTGAAGTCCAGTGCATTAACCTGCAGCGCCATACCAGGACTCCTCATCCTAGGGCTGTCAGATAAAGGCTTTGTGAACCTGTAGTATATTTGAAGGCAATGATGCAAAAGTCATCTGTATGCATTTTCTACTTTTTTCCTTTACACAGTATTACACACAATACTAAGGATTTTTTTTTCCAGGTTCTGTGACTGATAATTAGGTGGAGTGTGGTAATTCTCCCCATGGATATTTTATTTGTTTTGCAAGTGTATCCAGTAATAACTATAGATGATGTTCTTCCCCAGATAGAAAGAGATGACAGTAAGTTAGCATGTATTAAGACAGGACATTTGTGCCATGAAGTTTTACATAAAAAAAGCTCTTCCAAAAAGAAAACATTCCAGGCTTTTTTGAATTCTAGAGAGATACTTGGGTTAGAGCTCCCTCTGTTGGCTGAAGTGACTTACATAATTTGGAAGATTTGGTTTCTTTAACACAGTGGGTACAGGTTGACATCTGAATTTATTAAACATAATTTTTCTTTTTTGTCACCATATTATGTTCAGTGATGATAAAACACTTTGGATTAATACTTTAAAATAGATGTTTACATCAGTAGACTTTAAATTTTGCAATGAATTTAAATTGTCATTCAAGAATTGAAATTTGAATCCCTTCCTGTGCATCTTTTTTCTGCTTCTTAGCCCAGATATTGAGGCCTGCATTAATTTTCCTGAAAATACAAGGTGCATACTCATACATCTTTACAAATCTGTCATGAATATAATTTTGCCAGTGACTTTATTAATCCCCTAAAATTACATATAAAACATATTTAAATGCATGTGTGCAGTCTTCTCAAGATGGTTCACACTCTTCATCATTTTGTGATCTAGAAAAAGTTGGAATACAAGCTTCTACGCTGTAGGGTCAGCTCTGGACTCTGAACCACACAGTCCACAGTTCAAACCCACCAACTACTCCTTGGAACCCTATTACAAGGTTGCTATGAGTCAGAACCAACTCAATGGCACTTAGCAACAACAAAAACAATGATGACCATCTTATACCCATAAAAAGAGTCTACAGAAGGGCGAATTAAATGGTTTTCTGCGAAGAATGGCTAGGAAATAAGGGAATTCCTAGAACTGGCCACTGGCTTGAAAGAGGCTGTAACTTAGTGAGGAAGTTTTTATTTCCTAGTAAAAATTCTAGGCTTCAGAGGAAAAAAAGCTTGAAAGGCTAAAAATCTTATCAGTGGTCACTATCATCAGAGCGGCCTAATTTATTGGATTCCAGCTTCAGTTCTTGACCTAAATTAACTTGTCCTACCAAATCACCAAAGGAGCCTGGGTGGCACAAGTGGTTTAGGATCAGCTGCTAACTGAAAGATTGGTAGTTCAAAGCCACCCACTGACTCCACAGAAGAAAGGGCCTGGCGATCTGTTGCTGCTAAGAAAACCCTATGGAGCAGTTCTACTCTGTCACATAGGACCAACTTAACAGTAACTAATACCACCAACAACCAATCTACCTACTCAAGCTCAGCATAGAAGTACTACAGATAAACTGATGATAAAGACCCTCTCCTTGCAGTCTCACTAAGGAGAAAAACAACGTATGCAACAGCAAGGGTAGAGAGAAGATAACATGATGCTAATTACACAAGTGGTGAGGGAAATCACATAGACTGGGTGGTGGTAATGATATTCAAAAGTGTAGCAGATGCAAGGGGCTAGAGGGGCCTGAAGTTTTAGTCTGGTCTTAAAGGGGGAGAAGGGTCTGACTGTACAAAGAACACCTGACAGTGTGTGTAGAGTAGGAATAATGTAAATGCATGGAGAGGTGAGAATGAGAAAGATCAGTTATAGAAAACACAAGAAACCTGCCTGTCTGAGTCAAAGGCCCTACATTTGAGTGTGGTGGGGCATGGGAGCAGCAGAGTTTACATCAGTGGTCAGCAAGCATTTTCTTTGAAAGGCCAGAGTAAATATTTTAGACTTTGGGTCTCTCTGTCATATATTCTTTGTTTTTATTTTTTAGCTTGTCAGCCTTATAAAAAACAAACCTCAGGCAACACTTTTCCAGCCTCCATTTCAGATTTAGAGGGAGGAGATGCAGAAGGAATCCCGGGCTTGCCACTCTGCAATGGTGGGAAACCTTTGTCTTAGTAAGAAGACTTTAGAAGCCAAATATAGGAAAAGGAACTCTAGTGGTGCAATGGGTTAGGCGTTGAGCCATTAACATCAAGGTTGGTAGTTCAAACCTATCAGCCACTTGGCAGGAAAAAGATGAGGCTGTCTGCTCCCATGAAGATTTACAGTCTAGGGAAGCCTGTTTGCTTTGAGTCATGATCAACTCAATGATAGTCGGTTGGGTTGGGTTAGGTTTGGGCTAATAAAGAATTGAAGGCATGTAAGGAGAGGAAGAGAATTTAGAACTTAATCTGACCAGTCAAGGATAATGAGAACTTGGATGGGCCAACTGTGGTAGGAATGGAGAAGGTCAGGGACTAGGGACCACTGTAGGGAGGAATAGCAAGCCTCGGGGAAAGAGAACATGAAGGAAAGTTGGTAATGTAAGTTCATGAATTTGGATCTGGAAGATGAGAAGCATTGTGCTGTGGACAGGAGGAGTTTGAGAAAGAAGCGTGGTGTGAGGGGAAACATGAAGAGTAACTGCTGTAACTTCAATATGAGCTGAAGGTGAACCCGTCTGAAACCCCAAAGGCACCAATGGTGAATCTGTCAGCGGTGGAGAGTGTGCCACGCTACATGGAAGCCAGGTGCCCCGGGTTTAGTCTCTAATAGAGGGGAGCAGCAAAGAGGGAAGGCTGGACAGAATTTGAGGCAGTGAAAAGGAAGTCTAGAACGTTTCCTAAACTAGCATTCTACCCTCCCCCATCACTAACAATTCATTTGTCTAACTTCATCCGATAAAGGATTTGAAACAGCTCTCAGAGCTCATTGTGTGATTCTATTCCATTCAGGATTCATCCACAAGTCCCCTTTTTTTTTCAACCCAAGCAAATAATTGTTGTGCTTTGCTGAATTCTTTTTATGCACCAGGCAACCGTTAGGTGTTTTATAAACACTAGCTCATTTGCTCCTCAGAAGCAACATTCTTTTTTTTTTTCTAACACTTTTTTCTTGATTATAACAGTACATGGCAATGTAGAAGTTGTTCAACAAATAATTGAGTAATTATAATACATAGTCATTGAAGTAAGTTTGGAAAATAGGCACACACATAATCAATAATTCCAGCACTCAGATAACAGTTGGGCTAGTCTTTGGATAGACTAGTCTTATTCTATTATTTTTGAAGTCAGTACTCACAGACAGAAGACTATAACAGATGCAAAAAGTTGCTTTTTGGGGTGTTTTAAAATTGCTCCATGCTGGATGTCAGTTTGGCTTCACTTGCCAAAACCAGAGGGTACTCTATGACTGTGTATCAGAACTGCTATGTACTTGTTGAGTAGTTGTTGACCATTCTTCTCTCCACCTCCCCCATGCCTCCAGGCCTGCTATGGTATTCTCAAGGTCCCAGAAGGCAGCTGGTTGTGTCGCTCCTGTGTCCTGGGCATTCATCCACAATGTCTCTTATGTCCAAAAAGCGGTGGAGCCATGAAGACTACCAGGACAGGGAGTAAATGGGCTCATGTCAGCTGTGCCCTGTGGATTCCAGAGGTAAGAATTCATCCAGGTTTGCAGTCACAGTATTCACAGTGATGCAGATGTGGCATAAACATGCTTCATGCTTGCTCATGCTTCTGAGGTGTGATAATGCTTCCAGTACACTATTTCAAATCCTTCTTGAATATAGGTATGTATGTAAACTATTGTCAATTCATTCCTAAATGGGACTACTAGTTGTTTTGGTAAATTTGTATAGAAGTAGAGACACGAAAGACCAGGGTTATAAGCAGCAGATTTTTTTTAAATGTAGAGTTTCATAAATGTTTACGCATGTATGTAACCACAACCCAGACCAAGACATGGAATACCACAAACATAGACAAAGCACTCCAGAAGCCTCCCTCGTACCCACTTTGCTATCCCTATCTCCCAGGAATAACCACCATTTTGGTTTCTGTTACCATCCATGAGTTATGTCTATTTTTGAACTTTTTATAAATAGAATTATGATTTCTTTTACTCAACACTATGTTGTAGTATGTATCATTAGTTCGTTCTTTTTTATTGCAAAATAGTATTCTACTGTATAAATATACCATAATCATTTGTCTGTTATATTTGAGTTGTTTCTTTAGGCTGTGAATGCCCTTTGATTTCTAAAGCTCTTTTCAGAGCTTAGACTCAACATTTGTCTGTTTCCTTATTCAATACTCCATTCTGCGTTATTTAAACTGTTCCTTCAGTTGCTGGCATTTTCTCAGGGACTACGTGCACACTAAGTTTATTAAAATAGGCTTCCAGGCATTTCATCTCTTCCTTATGGCTGCCTTTTTTAACTGCTTGGATATCTGACTTACACCCTTTCTCCCCAACCCTCATCCATCCAAACCAGCAAATTTGTTAGTTTTAACTGCATGAGTTTATTGTGAAGTTGATAATACTATGTCAGTAAATCATTCTCCTTTTTAAAACTCCCTTGCTTTAATCTTGTTAATGTGAATTCCAGAGCAGTTACTATCCAATAATCAAGCTCACAAAGTTAAACTGAAAGTTCTAGATACATGTGTTTGTATTCTTATGTATATATAACTCAGAATTTTTTTTTTCAATGTTGAGCAGTAATTGTTGTCTCAGTAAGATCATCCAGCTTACATCCAGGCATATGAATGGAGCGCTTAGATTTCCAGGGGACAGGAGTGACTGATTTCCTGCAGCAGACTACCCCAGCTAATAGAGTAGGCTTTCTCAGCACCTAAAAGTCTAGACAACATGACTCTGAAAGATGCAGTCTCTTCAGGGGACTGTCTTTCTACTGTTCTTTTTCTGATGTATGTGGAGCATATACTAGTTTGTCCATCCTTATTCAACAGATCTTCACTTTTTCTTCTTTCTTTCTTTTTTCTTTTTTTTTTTTTAACTTTTTGTTATGAATTGAGTGAATATTTACAGAACAGATCAACAATCCCACATTTAACAAATTACACGCTTCATGTCATTGCATTGATTGCAATCCACTCCATTTTACTATCAGTTAACAGTATTTACCTCTATTCACATTATTTTTCACTCCCCTAACCACACCTGCCCTATAACCATCCTAGAATGTTTTATTTAGCAAGAAAATCTTTTCTTAAAATTTTTTACCTCTGTGCACTTTATTTTTAGCAGTATTTACCTCTATTCACTTTAATGTTTTTCCATCCCACCCACCCATCTCATAACCATTGTAGAATGTTTCATTTAGCATGAAAATATTTTAACTTTTTTTCCTTAACTTTTTACAACAGTGGTGTCATGTGATTATTTATCCTTTTGTGATTGACAAATTTCACTCAGCAAAATGTCCTCTAGGTTCATCCATGACATGTTCTGCAGATTCTTTGTTATTCTTTAATGTTGCATAATAGTCCATCGTGTATATGTTTCAAAGTTGTTTAAATATTCTGTTGATGGGCATTTTGGCTGTCTCCATCTTTTTGCTGTTATGAATAGTGCTGCAGCGAACAGGGGTGTGCATATATCTAGTGTCACAGCTCTTATTTCTTGATGATATGTACCAAGTAGAAGGTTGCTGGGTCATACAATATTTCTATTTCCAACTTTTTAAGAAAGCGCCATACCTTTTTCTACAGTGGTTGTACCATTTTACAGTCCCAACAGCAGTGTAGGAGGGTCCCAATCTTTCCACACCCTCGCCAGCATTTTTTGTTTTCTGGTTTTCTTGGAAGTTGGCTGGCTATTAATGCTGGAGTAAGATGATATCTCATTGTTGTTTTGATTTGCATCTCTATGAGAAGGGCTAATGATTGTAACCATTTTTTATATGTTTATTGGCTGCCTGAATGTCTTCTTTTGTGTAACTGATTTCATAAATTGATATCTCTGGCTCCCTGTATTCAGTCTCTTAGGTTTGTGGGATTTTTTAATGCTTCTATAGCTGGATTGAGTTCTGAGTGGTGCTATCATGTGTTTGCAGGTTGTTGTCTTATTGTTGGTTCTCAGTCCAGATAGCACCTTTAGTATTTTTGCAAAGTTGGTCTTGTTATTCCAAATGTCTTAATGTCTGCTTACCTGGAAATGTCTCAATTTCACCATCATATTTAAGGGACAGCTTTGCTGAGTATATGATTCTTTGTTGGCAAACTTTTTCAGAGTTTTGTATATGTCATCCCATTGCTTTCTCACTTACATAATTTCTGTTGAGAAATCAGAGTTTAGTCTTACTGGTTCTCCTTTGTAGGTAACTTTTTGTTTTTTTTCTCAAACTGTTCTCAGGATTCTTTCTTTGTGTGGCTTTAGAAAGTTTGATTATAATATATCTTGATGATTTTCTTTTGGGAATCTATCCTGTTTGGGGTTCAGCTTCTTGTCAACTTCTCAGTTTTCATAACGCTAGGATAGTTTTTAGTTTTTTTCCCCCAACAACTTCTGCAATTTTCTCTGTACTTCTTATTGTGTCTTTCTGTTCTGGAAATCCTATCACTGGTAAGTTATTCCTAGTCATGGTGTCCCACATAACTCTTGTTGTTGTTGTTAAGTGCCATCGAGTCGGTTCCGACCCATAGCGACCCTGTACAGGGTTTCCGAGGGTGTAAATCTTTACGGGAGTAGAAAGCCTCATCTTTCTCCCGCGGAGCGGCTGGTAGTTTCGAACCGCTGACCTTAAGGTTCGCAGCCCGATTCGTAACCACTACGCTACCAGAGCTCCTTACATAACTCTTAGGCTTTCTTTTTATTATTTTTCTCCTTTATTATTATTATTATTGTTCTTCTAGCTTATTAGTATTGAGAGATTTCTCTTCAAACTCACTGATTTGGGCTTCCATTGTTTAAACTCTACTCCTTTGTCCATTATATTACCCATTTCTGAAATCTTAGTATTAATCTTCTTGATTTCTAATTGCAGGTTTTGTGTTGTTTCAAAATTCGTATTTATTTTTGTCTGTTTGTTCTTGTAGTGTTTTCCTGAATTCTTCTAAAAAAAATTTTCTGTGTTTTCCTTGATTTCTTTGATCTTTCTGTCAATCCTTTAAAGGTACCTAAATGTCATTCTTTTGAATTCTTTTTTCGTTGCTTCCATTACCTTTTCTTCTTCAGAAACATTTTTTGGATCTAAATTTTGGTCACTTGTGTCATTCTCGTTTCTTTGTGTGAGCTAAAATTATCTGTTGTCTCTGGGACATTGTGGTATTTTCATATTTATATGTAACTAATGTTGTATGCTGCTGTGTTCTTAGGCTCTTACCAACTGTCTCCTGTGGGTGTAGTTAGAGAATGGAAACCCCCACCCCACCACAGATACACACAGGAAATGAAACAGAGTAAACAACCAAGAAAAAAAAAAAAAAAAAAACAATGAAAAGAGAGAATAAAGGAGAAAAAAAATAAAAAGAGGCAGGGACAAGAAAAATTATATATAATAACTGAAAAGGGAAAAGAGGGACAGGAAAAAGAAGTTACACACATTAAAGTAAATGGTCATATCTGTGCTGAGTTAGATTTTTTTGTGAGTTTTTTTTAAGTGCTGTTGAGTGGGTTTCAATTCATAGCAACCCTGTATAGGGTTTCCAAGGAGTGGCTAGTGAGATTGAACTGCCAGCCTTGTAGTCCGGTGCTTATCCTACAGCATCACACCAGGACCCTGCTTGTTTACTAAACCTTTCTGGGTTTTGTTGGGTTTTTTGGTGTTTTTTTCCTAATTTTGATGTGCAGATGTATTAATTTTCTTTCAGTTTACCCATCATTTTTTTAAAGTACCCCTTTCTTTTCAATATCATCCCAAAGATTAATTTTACTTTGGTTTTAAAATGTTATCATCCTCAGCTGTTCACTTTCCAACAACATGTTGACGGGAAAAGGCTTGTCAGTGTCTCTGTTTTTATCCTTAATTGATTAAATGAAATAACAACATCTAGCACCATCTCTTAACATGAGATGCAAGCTAGATTTTTTTAGTTGTAGTTTTTTTTCTTAGTAGCTTTCTTTGGCTCCTGATTTACTAAGACAACTATTCCCAGAAGTGAAAAGGCAGGCTACCCACTGGGATAATATTTTCAGAAACCGTACATCCAATAAGAATCTAATAATTAAAACATATCAGAAATGACCCAATCATAAAATGGGCACGGACTTGAACAGACATTTTACCAAAGAGGACAGTCTGATGGACACAAACACGTGAAAAGATGCTCAGCATCATTAGCCATCATTGAGTGCAGATCAAAACTATGAGATACCAGGACTCCAATACTCAGCCTGTAGGAGAAATGAAGTCTTGATGCATGCTGCATTGTGGATGGAGCTGAAAAAGACATGCTGAGTAAATAAATCAATCACAAAAGAACAAGAAAAGGCAAATTTATAGAGAACCAAGTTTATTAGTAGCTACCAGGGATGGGAGTGAGGAGCAAAGAGGGGAAGTTTGACAGTGATAGAATATTACATTTATTAAGTGGTAAGGATGCACAGCCACTTACTGTAATTGCTCTCAAATTGTATACTTGTGAAAATTTGAGTTGGCAAAAGTTTTGTGATACATTTACAACATAAGAGGAGCTGCTGAGACTGCTTATGTACAAGCAAAATATCTTGGGATTTGGTTTCTTGGTTTGGAGGTTTAGGATCATGGTTTCATGTGGCATCCCAGTTAATTGGCCTAGTAACATGTTTAGTGCTCTGTTTTACCCCCAGTTCACTGTGGGTCTTAAAAGCTTGCAACAACAGCTGCAACAGCTGGCCTCTTTTTGCTAAAAGAACAAAGAGAATCAGCAATAGGAAAATATGTAATGTGTGACTAATTGCTTTCATAAACAACTGCCTCCTTTGCCATGAGACCAAAAGAACTGGATGGTGCCCAGCAACCATTAACTGATCATTTTGATAAAATCTTCTATAGAAGACTCTCGATTGAGCCCTGGCGCACCAGCTCCCACCTCCTCCTGGCTCTCAAAGCTGGTGGCTTGCAACTGGCAATAAAATAGCACCCTGGTAACGACTTGTGTGACTGAAGATGACCAATGAAGAATCTCTTCTCAGAAAGGTTCGACTGAGTGAAACAGACTTCAAAACGATGGCACGAGATGAGTTGATTTTAAGATGGAAGCAATATGAAGCATATGCACACATTTTGGAGGGCACGTACACAGATCTTACCTCTAATGATTTAATTAGCTTACAAGAATCTGAAGACAAACTAAAGCAACAATAGCAAGAGTCTGCACATAGGGAAAACAGCCTTGTAATGAGACTAGCAACCAAGGAACAAGAGATGCAAGAGTGTACTACTCAAATCCAGTACCTCAAGCAAGTCCAGTAGCCTGCTGTTGCCCAATGGAGATCCACCATGATAGACCCAGCAATCAATTTGCTTTTCCTAAAAATGAAAGGCGAAGTGGAACAGACTAAAGACAAACTGGAACAAGCCCCAAATGAAGTAAGGGCCTGAAAGTTTACGCCTGATAGGTAAACAAATTCTACTCCCCGTCAGAACTTCCCTGACAGTCCCACTATGAGAAAGCTGTGGTGGGACAGCCAAGTACTCTTTACACATTAAGGCTGTTTGAGCCCAAAAAAAAAAAAAAAAGCCACATTCTTACACAGTTTAGCTTATACTGGTTAATGTAAAACTTACCAAATGGACCTTTCGTTTCAGTTTTTTTTGGGTTTTTTTCTCTTCCCATCCCTTTGTTTCAAAGGTCAGATGGCATCAAACTATTTCAGAGAAGTGTCTACCTCTGACACTAGAGAAATATTTCTGTTCAAATGAAATAGAGGGAGAAGCAAAAGTCTTTTAAGTCTGTGGCACACTAGGTCGTCAGAGAATTGGAGGAATGAAAACCTAGAGATTTTAAATCATGAGTTGAACATGTAAAATTCCAGTAAACCATAAAAGTGGAATTAATATGCATTAATCTTATCTTTGTGCATAATGACTTAGCGACACTGTATATTACTTTTGCCAATAAGACTGAACTTGTTGAACTTCTGGGTTAAAACTTGAATGAGGTGATTTTGCCTTTAAAGGGTTTCTTTGTTAAGAACCAACTTTTAATAGTCTGGAGAGACCCAACTCATAGATGACAGTTGTTGTTGTTATGTGCCATGGAGTCGGTTCCGATCCATAGCGACCCTGTACAGGGTTTCTGAGGCTGTAAATCTTTATGGGAGCAGAAAGCCTCATCTTTCTCCCGTGGAACAGCGGGTAGTTTCAAATTGCTGACCTTGCGGTTCACAGCCTTATTCGTAAACACTACGCTACCAGAGCTCCTTGTAGATAACAGTACTAGTAGTTTATAATACTTAAACATTTCATTTGGGGTTCAGTTACTTTGATTGCACCTTAACTCCATGGTTTTAATCAGTGGTCGTTAATGCTATAGACAATCTTACTGAGGACTGTACAAGCATGGAGGTATAGTTATCAAATCCAGTTTTGAACTCTTTGAAACATTATAAATGTTAATTCTACAACTAGATGGTATATGAGTATTAGTTTTTCTCAGTAGTCAAATTGACTAAATCCTCGTTTCATTCAACAGGCACGTGTTGAAACAACATTGTAGTGATGGTAATGGGAGATGTGTTCCTTCATTGTATTTGAGCTTTTTTTGTATTGCACCCATGATGTTAAATGTGCCTTGAAAAAAAATCCCGATTGGTGCAAGGGAGGAGTGATTACAGAACAGACTTCTTGAAGTCATGAAGATTGGATGAACCCCTGAAACTATTGTTCTGAGATCATCTTTAAGCTCTAAACCAAAAATATCCCATGACCTTTTCTTAAAAGCGAATAACAGTTTAGCTTAACTAGTAAACAAAAAAAAACAAAACAAAAAACAGTTCTGCCTTGAGCATTATTATGCTCTTTTAAGAACTCGCTATGGGTCGGACCCGACTCGATGGCACTTAACAACAACAACAACAACAAGAACTATCTATATGGGATCAAATTAACAACAGCAACTTGGATAGTTGAATAGGAACCTTTGTTGTTGTTAGGTGTGGAGTCAGTTCCAGCTCATAGGGACCCTTTGTACAACAGAACAAAGCACTGCCTGGTCCTGAGCCAGCCTCACAATTGTTGCTTTGGAGCCATGGTCTGTCTTGTAGAGTGTCTTCCTATTTTTTTGCTACTCTGTACCAACACAAACCAATGTGTATTGGAAGAAGTGCAGCCATAGTGCTCCTTGGAAGCCATGATGGCCAAACTTCATCTCTCATACTTCGGACATGTTATCAGGAGAGACCAGTCACTGGAGAAGGACACCATATTTGGTAAAATGGAGGGTCAGAGAAAAAGAGGAAGATGCCCAACAAGATGGATTGGCACAGTGGCAGCAGCAGTGGGTTCATACATTGCAACAATTGTAAGGTTGGCTCAGGACCAGACAGTGTTCCGTTCTATTGTGCATAGGGTCGCTATGAGTCGGTACCGGCTTCTTCAGGAACTGGTCCCTGCTGATAACATGTCCAGAATTCATGAGCAGAAGTCTCACAATCCTTGCTTTTAAGGAGCATTCCGGCTGTACTTCTTCCAGGAGCTTTGTTGGCTCTTCTGGAAGTCCATTCAATAATCTTAGAGGACAGTGAGTTTATGTTAATAATGGGAGAGGAACAGCTCATAAAAGGAGGTTGAAAGTGGCTACACAATTTGAGGAAAGTAATCAGTGTCACTAAGTGGTACATGTAGAAATTTGAATTGGTATATGTTTTACTGTGTGTATGTATATTCTCAACACAATGATAAAATACTTTTTATAAAAAGACTAAACTACCAGGTGATGGCAATGGTATGGAACAACCAGAATTCTCACATTTTTCTGATTATAGTGTAAAGTGGTAAAATCACTGTAAAAAAGTTTGATAATTTATGATAACATAAAGCCTACACAACCAGCAATTCTGGGAATTGAATTGCATACTCAAGAGAAATAAAAATATTCATTCATAAAAAGACTTGGGCAGAAATGTTCTCAGTAGCATTATTTATTATTGTTAAAAACTAGAAACAACCAAAATGCCCAATCCAGTAAGCAAAAGAATGAATAGATTAAATTTATTCATACAATAGAATAGCAAGTTTTTAAAGGAACAAATACTGATTTACATACACATACACACACAAAAAGCTAACTATTCTGGTCTACATTTCTGCCCTCTTACCTCATACATGACTTATTTACTTTACTGGAAATGATTGAAGTTCTGAGCAGTGGGTTTTATTTATTCTTGGTTCCATATTAACCTTAAGAGATATGGTTCAAGGATATGCTGAGCTTCATATAACATCATTTATGCTTTGTGAAGTGTACTTCTGTAATGCCTTGGTGGCTATACCTTATTGTGGTGTTTTATTTATAGGTCAGCATTGCTTGTCCTGAAAGAATGGAACCAATCACAAAGGTGTCCCATATCCCGCCCAGTCGGTGGGCACTAGTTTGCAGTTTGTGTAAGGTGAAGACAGGGGCTTGTATTCAGGTAAGTCTCCATGAGAAGTAGTGGAGTGGGGTTCACTGTCCCAGTGAGGGTTCCCTATCAACCACGAAGTCACTCAGACCAAGGGCTCACTTATAGAGCTCTTCCGTTATATAGACCATTTTGAGAACTACTTTAGTAATGTTTCTATTTTTCGACATTGTCTCTTAACTCTTCCCCTTAATCTTTTGATATCCATGTTGTTGTTGTTGTTAAGTGCCATCAAGTTGGTTCTGACTCATAGCAATCCTGTAAAGGAGCAGCTGGTGGATTTGAGCCACTCATCTTGTGGCTTAGCAGTCCAGTACTTATCCTACAGCACCACACCAGGAAGTTAATTCCAGCCTTTGATGTCAGGCCTGATGAATAAGATGGAAGCTAAAGATGGATGGATGATATCATCCTATGTGCAAACAAATCATAACTCTAAAACCAGTAGGTCTGGTGTCTTTGCGTTGCTCACCATACTGACAGCAGATGATATCAGGGTGTCTAGGATGATTTGATGAATGACCTTGTTGTTTGACTAAATGCACCTCATTTTGATAGTAAAATATATATTTTAATAGCTAAGTTCTGGGAGATTGGTTTGAAAGTCATTCTCGGAGGCACACTTGCTGCATAGGTAAAGATTTCTGAGACATCTCAGGCACAGGAATTCAGCTGCTTGAAGTAGAAATGTAGTGACTTGTGGTGGTGCAGATGAATTACCACATGCATCTCATGCATCTGTTATAGTTAGGTTTGAGCTTTATTTTCTCTTGTCAACTATACAGCTCAGGCTATTCTTTTGAATAGATGAGTGACAGTGGATTATGTGGCAAATCATTTGCAAATGAGGCATGACTCTGCTTATGAAATAATCCATGACAGACTTGGGTTTGGAAAAGTTTGTGCGAGATGGGTACCGAAACAACTCGCGGAAGAGCATAAACAGAAGCATTTGAATTTTTGTAAACGCTAAGGAAATTTGGACTGATACTCAAAGTAAGGTAAAAGTTTCTTTTTTAAAAAACCATTACTGGTAATGAGGCATGGATTCATCACTACGAACCTGAGAGTAAACAGAGTATGGAATGGAAACATCCTCAGTCACCAACCAAGAAAAAGTTAAAAAATCTGGCGGAGGCGATGGCATAGAGAGACAGAACAGCAGTGGACTTTAGGCCCATGGACTGAGAAAGGCAGCATGCCTGTGGGCAGGAGGCTGGCTTACAAAATGTGCCCTTTGGACATTTAAACAAATATATATTTACAATGTAGTATGTGTACACCAAAAAATAAAAATAAAAACTTTTTAAAGGTAACATAGAGTTAAATACTGTTGAATGGAGGGGATTATAATCATTACAATGATCTGCTGAATGTAAAAAAAAAAGTGTATGTGGGAATTTTCAGAATGGGAGGAGGGGTATATGTTAAAGTTACCTTTACAGTTAGCTTTGTGTTTTTAACAGTAAATTTACTACTTTAATCTCAACCTTTATTTATCTTGAAAATCATTATATAAAAATCTGTTTATGCCTTAATTTAGCTCCATATAGCTTTGTATATCCTCAGTTCTACTGAAAATAAAGTTCAAAATATTGGGGGGGGGCGCGGAAAAAGTCAACCATCAGACCATCAGCTGGAAAATTGATGCTTACAGTTTTCTGGGACTCTCAAGGGCCAGTACTGGAACACTATCAGAATAAAGATTCAGCAATCAACAGTGCTCATTACAGCAAGATGCTCACTGAAGAGCTGAAGCTAAATTTCAGATTAAACACAGAGCACTGCTATCCAAGAACATTGTGATCTTGTATGAAAATGCACGTCCACATACCTCTGCCCACACTGTTGACACTCTACGAAAACTTCATTTTGATTATTCCCACCCCCTCCACACAAAGAGTAGATAGGGATGGGCATCTTGAACATTGACTAACCAAAAATGGGAGAAGGGATACAAAGGTAAGAAGTGACTGGCTTACAAGCTTTCAAGAGGGAACCTAAATCCACAGGGCAGGGAGGATGGTAGAGTGTCCAGTGAGTAGTATCCGACCTGTCTAGGAAGGGCAGATAAAAAGAAATGCAGATGGGTCCCTTGGGATGCAAGGGTAAATAATTGTTACCAGGACTCACTGTGAAGGCTGGAAACGTAAAGGTGGACATTTTATAGCAAGGAGGGGAGTGATTAACCTTTCAGTCTAGGAGTGGAAGGCCCTGGGACCATCAATGGAGAAGAGCGGAGAGCGGGACCCCACCCAGAGGAGCAGTGAGGCCTGAGACTGAGACAGAGAGGATGACGTGAAGAGATGGAGTGGCTGGGACCTAGGGATCCAGAGAAGGAGAGGGGCTGTGTGCTGAGGACCGTGAGGGGAGGGTGGGCCTTTGGTTGGGTGATGATGCGTGGACGGGATGGTAGCTATGGCAATGAGATGATGTATGATGGAAGGAATGTAAAACTAATGTTCCTCCATGTAGACTATCACACAATACACAATAAGGGAATTTAAAAACCTATTGATGGATAGACAAAGCGTATTGAAAACCAAAGAGATTCTGGAAAATTATGTTTTTGTCTTTTCTAAAGATTAAAATAAATTCTACATCCAGAGTGTTGAAAATTTTTGACTCATCCTCATAGATAACACTGAGGCCAATATGAGCTCTATCTAAGGCCAGAAACTCTGCTGCCACATCCCTTCAACAGACACTTCGTGAGCTCCTTGAATTGCAGGATCCACCAGAGATTTCTACCCTCCAAATCCAACAACTGTACTTTTTGTTTTTACAAATACGACAACCCCACAATGCCCTGGAGACAACAGACAATTTTAGCTCACAAGAATAAACAAGAAAGAATGGCTCAAACAAATGACCAAGGTATAGAGACAGAAAACATTTCTGAGGAAAAAGTACTAGAACTAACTGAAAAAGAATTCAAAAGGGTGATATTATGGTAACTTCATGGATTGACAGAAAGATCAAAGAAAGCAAGGAGAGCACAGAAAAAAAACCTTTAGAAGAATTCAGGAAAAGACTACAAGAACAGAGAAAATAAATGGCAAATTTGGAAGCAATCCAAAACCTGCAATTAGAAATCCAGAAGAGTCATACTAAGATCTCAGAAATGCACAGTTCATTGAAAGAGCAAAGAAGATTTGCAGCAATGGAAGCCCGAATTTACAATCTGTTAAGAGAGACCAGATATAGATACAGAAAAAGTTAAGTAATATTATAGTAACATCTGCACTGCATATGCTCAGACCTTTGCGGACTCTTACGGATGAGAGATCAAAAGAACAGGCAGTCACTGTTGATGCTTGAGTTCAAGTGACCAGTGGCTGAAATAGGTTTAATGGGCTGGCTTGGACAATGACAAAGCACATTTCTCTGACGCCACCCATTTGTCTTTTCAGAGATCATTGGCGATTGAGGGCAACCAAATTAATATTGCCCTGCAGTGGAACACAAATTACTGAGAGCATATGCACCAAGCCTTTGGTATTCCAGGCAGGTGTCTGATTTTGAAGAAGACCCACTGTTTTCTGTTTGGAAGTAGCAAAACATTTCTCTAAAGAGGAAAGAAATGCCTTGATTTCTAAATCAATCTGCAATGTTCTGTTTCAAGATTTTTAATCTAACCACCCTATCTGGTTTAATTTCCATCCCGTAGAAACTCCCTTTGCCTAAGGGTCCAAGGGGAAAAAAAAACAGATATAAGGCTTCCAGTTGTCCTCTCCTAATGGTCCTGTGAGGACAGTGCTTATTTCTCCTTTGGATTGTTTCCATGTGTCTTTGATTTTCTCCACTCATCTTTGTTCTAGACAAGGAGAGACCAATAATTGCACTTTAGATGGCCACTCACAAGCTTTTAAGTCCTAGTTACTACTCTCCAGAGTAAGATGTAGAGCACTGTCTTTGAGGGTTTTGTTATGCTAAATGACCTTGATGCCCCTCAAGACTAGTACTATGCCCCTAGACCCAGTAACTCATTCCCTCAAGTTGTTTGGTTATGGCTAGGAAGTTTTCATAACTTTGCCTCTTTAATATATTCAGGGATATATTTGCATATTATCAGATGCCATTTATATGAAATGTGGAAAATAGGCAAATCTATAAATACAGACAGAGTGGGAGTGTGATGGCTCCATACAGTAAGCAGTGGACTCAAATCACAAAGTCTGTGGTTAGAACCTGCCAGCCACTCCGCAGGAGAAAGATGAAACTTTATGTTCCTGCAAAGATTTACAAGCCTCAGAAACCCTACACAGGGTCACTATGAGTCGGAACCAAGTAGATGGCACGTAATAGCAGCAACAAGCTGCCTCAAGCTGTGGTTGGAAATGGAAAGTGACTGAAGATAGGCACAAGCTTTCTTTTGGGGTAATAAATTAGCAAGTGATGATGGCTGCCAATTCTGTGAATATAGTTAAAAGCATTGAAATGTACACTTAAAGCTGATAAAGTTGATTGTATATAAATTATATCTCAGTAAACTGTTGACAAAAGTAAGCATAACATTTTTCCTATTACATGATTACAGTGGAGACAAATGAGATGTATGCAAAGGTATTTTATTTAATAGAATGCCTGACATGATTGATTTAGTAAATAGGTGTGTATTTGCCACCAAAATCCGGTTTATTTCCCTTTTGAGAAATATAGACCTACAGCTATAAATATCACAGCTGTAAATATAACCCATTTTGAAACTAGATGGAGTTCGTGGCAGAGTTTGTTAAGAGACTTTTTGTTTTTCATTTACGTATTCAGTTCTTGTTTGTGTGTTATGTTTTATTTTGAGTCATTATATTCTATAAATTTGACCTGAGAGATAAGATCTCTTTTTAGCTTCCTGTTAATAGTCGTTTTATGTCACCCATTCATCCCTTAAATAGAAAATAATCCTTTTGCTTTCTCTTCCCATACTGTTATCAGTTAGTAAACAGCGAAAGCAGCAAAAGAGTGCTATGTCCAATAACTTTACACTTGTGCAAAAGAATGCCTTTTGCTGGTTTTTGCTCATATTTTGGAGTAGTTTCTTAGTCAAGTGGATAACAAGGTGCCCAGATAAAAGTACACTTTGGCCTTTCCCCATCCTCATTTTTACGAGGCTTATTGAATGCATATAAATTTTAAGAATAGAAGATTTCAGTGCAATGTAAGAAATCTTTCTAGTAGAGCTATCCAAAACTGGGATAGGCTATCTTGTGAGATTGTGAGCTAGATTTCAGAAAGTGACTAAATTAGCACATAATTGGATGGCAGACATGTGTGTGGTAGTTGGGATGTGGAGGTAGAGAAGCAGGTACTCTAGAGAAAACTTCAGCAATAATAAAGGTGAGACTCCTACTATTGTTGTTACGTGTCATCCAGTTGGTTCTGACTAATAGCGACCCTGTGTAAGGTTTCCAGGGAGTGGATGATGGATTCGAACTGCTGACCTTAGGGTTAGCAGTGATTTTCAGAAAAATGGAAAATAAGTGTTGGTGAGAATGTGGAGAAATTGGACCCCTCATATATTTACATTCTGATGGGAATGTAAAATGGTACAGATGGTATAGAATACAGTTTGGCAGTTCCTCAAAAGTTAAAAATGGAATTACCATGTTGTGTTGCTAGGTACCGTCAAGTTGGTACCAACTCATAGCAACCTTATGCACAACAGAACGAAACTCTGCCCAGTCCTGCGCCAGCCTCACAATTGTTGCTACACTTGATCCCACTGCTGTTGCCACTGTGCCCAATCCATCTTATTGGGGGTCTTCCTCTTTATCTTTGACCCTCCATTTTACTAAGCATGATATCCTGCTCCAGGAACTGGTCCCTCCTAACAATATGTCCAAAGTATGAGAGACTGAGTCTGGCCATCCTGACTTCAAATGAGCATTCTGGCTGTACTTCTTCCAACACAGATTTATTTGTTCATTTGACAGTCCATGATACTTTTAATATTCTTTTCCAGCACCATAACTCAAATGCATCCATTTTTCTACGGTCTTCCTTATTAATTGTCCCACTTTCACATGCATATGAGGCTATTGAAAATACCATGGCTTGGGTCAGGCACATGCCACCTTAGTCTTCAAACTGACATCTTTGCTTTTGAGTACAACTGATGAGTAATTCTACTCATAGGTGTATATCCAAGAGACTTGAAATCAGGGACTCAAATTGCAATTGTATGCCAGTGTTCATTGCAGCATTACCAAATGGTACAAACAGCCCAGTTTTGGTGTATATATATATTCACAGTTTTTTAAAAAATCCGTGTATCTGTTGATGAGCATGCTGAGTTTCTGTTTGGGGTGTTGAGAAGCAAGAAAGAAGTCATTAAATATATGTGAGGCTGGATTCGATGATCTCTAAGGAGAATGTATCTTAGAGAAGTTATCTCCCATCCCTGGGATTCTGGATCCTAAGAAATAGTTTAAGTGGAATCTGTCCCTTAAAGTTTTGATGGCTGCCAGTATTCTCGTAACCCATGCATATGTATTGGAACCCTTAGTAGCAATCCTTTTTTAATTGTATTGCTTATTAGAGAGGGCTACTGAATCTCTCCCTCTATAATAAGGAGATCTGTCAGAGTTCCATCTTTTAGTTTTTATTGGTATCCAGCCAGGGTCAGTCTCTATGTTTAGTTTTTTTAAACCCAGTACCTAAGTAATGAAGCCATCTGCCCTCCAGATGTAGGTTTCTACAAGAATTGAGACTTGACTTTAACCGTGAAAATTCCCAGTTTCCTCAGAAACAACTCCTCTGTTGCTTTTTCCCCTACTCCTCTGTGCAAACATGTAAATGCACCCCTTTATTTGTAGAAGGAAAGCTGTAACATTATAACCACAAGTGTAACATTTAAGGCCAACAGTGATGCACAGGAGTATAGCACTAGTGAGCCAGGTTCTTCCTGCTCTGCCTCCCTTTGAATTTTCAGTGTTAAATCTGTAAATAAATGGCAGACTATTATGAAATTAATTTCAGATTGTCTGTACCAATACTGTCCAATAGAATTTTTCACAATAATAGAGGTGTTTACTTCTGTGCTGTCCAGTGTAGTAAAAATGTGACTACTGTAACTGAAGAACTAAGGTTTTAGTTTCATGTATTTTAATAAATGTAATAGCTCTGTAAGAACAATTTCAAGAAATTAGGTTATTTCTTGTATGTTTTTAGAACAAGCAGATGCTTTAGCAATAAGATTGACTTGCTTTTTCTTCCATTTGTTCAAAACCAGTTTTTCAGCGTGGATTTGTTCAGTAGATAATGGTGATGATGCTTCTGTCTTTTAAGGGATTTGACAGTGACTGTCAAATGTTACAAAAACATGTACAAGATGATAGGGGGAAACAGCAAAGGGACCATAGGACTGATAAAAGGAGTGTCAAGGAAAGCTTTTTAGAAAAACATAATGCTTGAACAAAAACCTTAAAAGGGAATTTGATTTTTCTTTCTCTTTAACCTTGTTTTTGCTGTTTTCTGTGAAAGTGAGTTTCCTGGGTCCCTTGTAAAATAGCTGTCATAGTCCATTTAGGACCAGTTTTCCCTTTCCTCTCTGAGCTCTCAATTTGAACTGTGAGACACAGGCCTCCTCACTCTCCCGCCCTGCTGCCCTGATAACATGTCGTCTTCCCACAGTGCTCAGTGAAAAGCTGCATCACTGCCTTCCATGTCACCTGTGCCTTTGAGCATAACCTGGAGATGAAAACCATCCTAGATGAGGGAGATGAAGTGAAGTTCAAGTCGTATTGCCTCAAGCACAGCCAAAACAAGCCGAAACCCCTAGTGGATGCTGAATACCCGACACACAGAGCTGCCGAGCAGAACCAGGCCAAAAGTGAGAAGATCAGCCTGCGGGCACAGAAGCTTCGGGAGCTGGAGGAGGAGTTCCATTCCCTGGTTCGGGTGGAAGATGTGGCCACAGAGCTGGGAATGCCCACACTGGTTGTGGATTTCATCTATAACTACTGGAAGCTGAAACGGAAAAGTAACTTCAACAAGCCTTTATTTCCTCCAAAGGAAGATGAAGAAAACGGTCTAGTGCAGCCAAAAGAAGAAAGTATTCACACCCGCATGAGAATGTTTATGCACCTACGACAGGACCTGGAAAGGGTAAGATAACCAATAGTGGCTTGTGTGTAGATCTAGATCTGTGTAGAAATAGAGGCTGCTTATATGAAGGTAAGTCAAAAAGTATTGCTATGAGAGGTTCCAATTCATACATGCAGGGGTTTATTCCAAGCAAAGTATATTAAAACTCAGTGGATGGCTGCAGACAGGTTTTCTCAGAAAAAACACTAGTGTTAGTCTCGTTAGGGTGCCTTCCACAAAAAGGTCTGCTGAAAACAGTGGTTTCCCAGGGTGTCTGCTTAGCCAGCTAAATTTAAGATGGTGAATTCAGCAGAAGGTTATGGTGATTGGTTTTTGGGAATCTCAAGGAATAATCTTGATGGATTTTCTTGAAGGACACAGGATGATCACAAGGGCTTATTAAAGAAGCTTTAAGAAATTTGAAAATGCATTGATAAGAAAAAGGCCAGGAATGTTGAGCCAAGGAATTTTTTTCCATCACAATATGCACCTGCTCATATTTTTATGGGTAACAAGGTCTGTCCTATGAGAATTTCATTGAGAAACCTTACCTTACATACTCTACAGCCCTGATCTTGGCCCTTTGGATTTCTTTCTCTTCCCCAAACTCAGCATTTAAAAGGAATGCAATTTGAGTCCCTCGAGGATGCCAAAAAATGCCATTTTGACATGGCATAAATCGAAGAGTGTAAAATTCTTAAGGGAAGGGTTACAGAGATGGAAACACTGTCTTCCGAAGTATATCGACCTAGATGGGGGATATGTCAAGAAACAATACCTTGATGTTGTGACATTTTTATTTACTGAAGGTTTCTGTGGGGTTTGTAGCAGTACTTTTTTACTTACCTTCATATAGTGGGCTTCTGTGTCTTTGTCAATCTCTGATTTCATTGTGGTGCCAGACATTAAGCTCTGTTTAGATGTTGACGGGCACATTCAAAGGATTGGAGAAGCCCTGATTGATTCACTTCTTATTCAGTATTGTACTAAATTGGCTGGACAATATTTTACTGGGATACTTGTGAGACTGCAGCGTGAAGAAAGGTTTTTTTCAGGAGTACTGTGGACATTTTCAGACTGCCTAGTTTATGTTGTAGGGGGATTGTCCTATATGTGCAGTGTTTAACAGTATCCCTGGACTATCCACTAGATGCCATTAACAACCACCCTCCAGTTGTGATAACCAAAAATATCTGCAAACATTGACAAATATTATCTGAGGTCAAAATTATCCCTGGTTGAAAGCCACTACATTAGGTAGATCATTTTGACTCATGATATATATACAAGGGGGCTTTCAAAACGTTCTTGGAAAAATGGAAATAAAAGATAATGGAATTTTTCTGAAAACTTTTTTAAAACCCTCATATTTATCAGGTAGCTACCAAATTAGGAACTACAGGAGTTCAAAGATAAGCTAGGTACTGTGTTTACCCTAGAGAATTTCATAATCAAGTGTAGTTATAGAAATGGCTTAGTTTTGTTTGTTTGTTTTCATCCCCTCTGCTGCTGTAATTTGAAAGAGACCCGATAGATTTGCCTTACTCTTTAAAATTTGACACAACTGTTGTTGGTGTTATTAAGTGCCGTCATTTGCTTCTGACTCACATTGACCCTATATAGGGTTTCCAAGGAGCGGCTTGCCATTCAACGCATTATCCTGCAGCACCACACCAGGACTCACTCTCTCTCTCTCTCTCTCTCTCTCTATATATATATATATATATATATATATATATATATTTATATATAGTTAAGTAATGTAGTTAAGTACTGTGGAGTTGGTTCCAACTCATGGTGACCATGCACAGGGTTTCCGAGGCTGTAAATCTTTATGGGAGCAGAACGCCTCATCTTTCTCCTGCAGAACCGCTGGTTGTTTCGAACTGCTGACCTTGAGGTTGGCAGCCTGACTTGTAACCACTACACTACCAGAGCTCCATATATATGTGAGATTATATATGGTGGTGGTGTGCCATGGAGTCGGTTCTGACTCATAACGACCCTGCGTAGGGTTTGGTTTCCGAGGCTATAAATCTATATGGGAGCAGAAAGCCTCATATTTCTCCTGCAGAATGGCTGGTAGTGTTGAACTGCTGACCTTGAGGTCAGCAGGCCGACTCATAACCACTACGTTACCAGATCTCCTTAAGTGATTATATATCTGTATATGTAATTATTTATTACGTGCCAACACTATTCTAAGCATTTTATTAATATTAACTCATTTAATCTTAACATGACTGTGAAGACAGTCCTGCTATTATTCCTCTTTACACATGAATATGTTGGGGCACAGTAAAGGTTGAGTAATTTGTCCAGATGGGAATTAGGAGTTAGAGAATTTCACTTAATTAAGCTGGAAGTATGAGCAAAAAAGCAGCTTCCAGTCTTCCCAACAGACCTTTATCCTGCTGGTCCAGTGCTCATTAGACAATTGTACTGGCTCCAGCATTACTATCATTTGATCTTCCCAGCCTGGCTGTGCAAGTAAATATTGATCCCATAACCCTGTAGGGAGAATGAGTTTCAGGAGATAACTTCAGAGCATTTTGCTTGTGCTGCTGACTTTATATGGAAACCATGATCCCATGACCTGGAAATGCTGTGTGAATTCCTATGAAGCTCTTGGGTTCTGTCCTCTCTCCTCATCCCCCAACCCCACAAGATTTAGGATGTCTTAATTTTAGCTTTACAATTTCAATTGTCAAGTATGCTTAACATGACAAAATTTTCAATTTGCTGGGGATTGGGCTTTCAGGTCCGAAATCTGTGCTACATGATAAGCAGACGAGAGAAGCTAAAACTGTCACAGAACAAAATACAAGAACAGATCTTCAACTTGCAAGTCCAGCTTCTTAACCAGGAAATCGATGAAGGTACCCTGAGTATTAAAGATACGCTAACAAATATCCAAATTGTTTATACTGGTTGTAACTAAGTTTATGTCAATTATTTCACTTAAATATCTTTTTTTTAATTGTTAAGTATTTTATTTACTGTAGTCAAATAGCTCATTTAATGTAGTTCGGCCCTGATATAAAGTGACCCATTTCACTGTTTATTCACAATGCATGGTGGGTGTGGCAGGGCTATCGATATAAGGCAGATAGTTTAAACCCCAGACAGATACTGGGGGCCATAAGTTAAAACCGTGAGTTTATTTTGTCTTTGCAGCATAATTCATTTAGAAATCAGCAGGATAGGATTTAATCCTGGTTTCCAGAAACATTTCCTTCCAGGATTACCCAATTTAACAGTAATCTGTTAAAACAAATTCTTAGCCAGAAATTAGGAGATCTGAGTTCATGTCTTTTCATTCACTAATATTTGTTGAACACCTACTATGGGTCAAGAATTGAGCTAGAAGATACAGAGCAGTCAACAAGACAGAGAAAGGTCTTTTAAGCATGACGATGGAATGATGATAGTCATAGTAACACTTGTAACCTCCCTGTGCTTCATTGAACACAGGGTGGTGCCAGAGCCTGGGAAATAGGGAACACTGGGCTAGATGTGCAGAATCTAGTTCACACCACGAGTCAGCCAGAGAGCAACAGAGACACCAGAAAGTTGGTCAGTAGGCATCAGAGTCTGCCACCTGATGATAAGTATCACAGTTTAAAGCAGAATAGTGTATCGGGAGGCAGCAGGACTGCTCAGCAACAAGGGCAGTGTGACAGACAGACAAGGAGAACCAAAGGACAGCAAGGAAGAATACCTGCATGTCAAGGAAATTGACCTCTAGCCTTCGATATGGCTTGTGTCATCAGCAGATGTCGGCCCCTGGCAAAGACGGTGGCTGTGAACATTTGAACATGGATCCTTAAGGGTCCTCTATAGATCCATTTTTGTGGGGTTTCAGTAAACTGGCAATATCATAGGTCAGATCTCTCTGTAAGGAAGAGTTGTTTGGTAGTAATTAAAAAAATATATTGTTTTTAAGTGCTATAGAGTTGGTTCTCACTCATAGAGACCCTTGTATAGGGTTTCTGAGGTGTGGCTGGTGAGTTTGAACCACCAACCTTGTGGTTCAAACTGACCTTATGTCGAGTGCTTATCCAACAGTGCCAGAAGAATACTTTTCTAACTATGATTATAGGGTGACATAACCAGGTAACTGCTTGCCAATAGTCCCCAGGCCTAGCCCATAGTAGGCCATGGACAAGAACATCATGATTCTTTTCCCCTGGCCTTACTGCTTCAAAATTTTCCCATACCTTCAGAATTCATAGTCAAGAAATTATTCTAGGTGGTTGTTTTTAAGCTCCAATCAGTCAGTTGCGACTGATAGCAACCCTGTATAGGGTTTCCAAAGAGCAGCTGGTGGGTGTGAACCTCCAACCTTGCAGTTAGAAGTCCAGTGCTTATCCTACAGCAACACACCAGGGGGTCAAGAACATAAAATATACAGAAACCGCCACCCTACTAGTGCCAGTTTAAAGCATCTGCTCCCATGCTCCTCAGTCCCCCCAAACTGCTACATTGCTGAGGACTTCTATTTGATTTGATTGGGGAAGATCTGAAATGAGTATTTAAGGTGCATCTTTAGTGCCATGCAGTACCCACACTGGCACACAGAGACTCACAGACATGAAAACCCTGTTCTAAACCATTGCCACTCTTTTCCAAAATGGAAGAGGGATGTAGGAAAGAGTCCATGAGAGAACAAAGGTAAAGAGATTAGGAGTTGTACAGCAAACAGTGTATTGCTGAGTTTCCCACTTCTTCCCCCAACCTCTGGTTTAGCTCACTGCAGCCTTTACACTGTGATGTACATATATACAAAATACATGTAGCTGGTACACGTTTGGGAAGAGTGAGTATATGCACTCATTCTGTCAGAAGGCTTGCACCATTGTTTAAATCAGTTGTTAAAATGCATCTTTCTTATTAAATCCTAGGACTTCCTTTGACAAATACACTCGAAAACTCACTATTTTACCCACCACCAAAAGCTACCTTAAAGTCAGAAATGCCCACAGCAGCCACAGAAGACTGCAAAACTAGCTCCGCAGAGTCTGATCACGGACCCACCCCTGCTGATAACAGCACCCCTGCTGTCGGTATAAGGGACACCACGCCGGTACCTCAGGAATCACTAGAAACAAGAGTGAAGTCGCACCCAAGGCAGCCACTGGAAAGCAAGAATAACTGTTTGGCGGCCAGTCATAGCCATTCTCGGAGTGAAGCAAAGGATCTCAGTCCTGCTTGGAAAGCTCCATCCCAAGAGTTACCTCACGGGCAGTCACCGGTTCTTCAGGCTGCCTTGCATGGACAGCCTTCCGTTGGGAACAGGAAAATTCCGTCAAACTCCAGGCTTGCCAAACCCAATGGCATGGAGGGCAATTTGCCTGCAGAAGTCACCCAAAAAGACAATTCAAGTGAGGTGTCTTGTGGCCAGGAGTCCGTGCTCAGCTCCCACTTGGCCAGTCAGGGCAACCTTAAGAAAGCCACCATGGAACACTTGACCAGGTCCTTTAAGGAGGCCACCAACAGGTGGGTGAGGACCACAGAGGATCTCCAATGCTGTGTGAAGCCACCCAAGAGTAACCCCAAGGAGCAACACTGGGGTAAACAACATCTCAGGCGGTCTGCAGGGAAGGCTTCGTGTCAGGAAAACGATGGGTATTGCCCAGATTTGGAGCTAAGTGATTCTGAAGCAGAAGGTGAAGGGAATAAAGAGAAAGTCAAGCTAAAGAGAGACAACTCAGACAGGGAAAATCCTCCTCGTGACTCCAGACGGGATTGCCGTGGTAAAAAAACTCATCCGCTTTCCCATAGCTCAATGCAAAGGTGATTAAAACCTTTCAAGAATCATCCAAACTTTGCCTTTTGGGGAAACCCATGCACCAAAACCCATACACCAAAAGAATTCTAGCATATGTTAGGCGAAATCACAGTAAAATATTTCCACCATATATTGACTTGCAGTTTTTCAAGTCTTGTTTTCATAAGCACATTATAGAAACCACAGATTATCTAATGGTTTGGATGTTTGTATTTTTTTTTAATTATTATTTTTGTTTTTCTTTTTGATCAGAGCTATTGGGAACAGTTGGACCTAGAGTATTTATTCATTGAATACTCTGGAACTGCTTTCCAGTTACATTAACATATGGGTAAACATATGTATTAAGAGTCCTTGCATTGTTAGTGGAATTTGCAAGAGACCATGATTATCAGACACTAAAACTACTTATCTTTTGAAACTACAACATGTGACTCTCAGAACTCCTCTCTGTAGGAAGTTTCTAACTCCACTGGTATCTATAAACCTTCAGGGAAAGATCAGACCAGTTATCTCACATACTATTCAACTCACTACTCCCCTCCTTTGCTCTGCGCAAGGTTGGGTTCCTTTCACAGTATCTGAACTTACTGAGTCAATATTCTACTGACACTTATAAATGACACTTATATATACATGTCCAGTGCCTGTTCCTAGACTTGCTTGTTGGGGACGCACTTAACTATTTCACCCAGCTGACAAGCATACAAGATGTATTTGTGGATAGTGTTTACAAAAGTAGATGCTCTACTTCCAAGGAATATGCTCTGATTCTCTGTTTTGGCAGTTGTAAAGGATCCCAGAGCCTTTCCCAAAATGAGACCACCTCTGGGTCATTTGTAACCCAGTCAGAGTTTATGTTTTCAAATAAGTTTGGCTGACAGTTTTGTATACCTGTTTTAATGTTTATATACTTTTTATTGAGGTATATAACTAATATACTGTATACTAAAATGCACACAAGTATTCTTACCTGTTTAATTTTCAAATGGATTTTTGTTGTCCAACATTTTGAAGGCATGTGTTTAGTACATGGATATAATTTAGCTTTGAATCAGAGGCAGTTTCCCAAGCAAAAAGGCTAATGCCATTTTTTTTTTGTTTTCAGAAGTTACTTATATACACTGTTCCCAAACTGTCAACCTGGGTTCATTCTGGGAGGAAGCCAGTAAGTGCATTTTAGGGAAATAGAAACATGTCTGCTTCCCATTCAACAAAGAGGGAAATGTTGCAATTTTAAATGTGACACAAACTGTAATTCTCAGCTCTCTTCTCTTCTTAGCCTTAAATTAATATTCTCTTCCTTCTAGTTTGGGAAAGTATAAAGAGAATTTTCATACAAAAGTGGCCTGTTTCAGAATTTTCTAAGTTTGTTACTGCTGAAACAGCCCTGCTGCATGCAGAAGGGTGCCTGTTAGCAAGAGCCAGGGTCTCCTTTCTCAACATGGAAAACTCAGGAGTTTTCCATTGCCCTGCATTTGCTCTTGTAACTTTACTGTTTCCTTGATTTCTTATTTGCTTCTTTTCTTGACTACTTCTGTATTTCACCTCTCCTTTGGCTGCATCTTCAGAATGTTTCTTTTGTGCCTGTGTGAAGATGCCATAGCATATGTGATAAGTTTCCATTATTTTGTTTGGATGGAAAAATTGTCATCCAAAATGAGGGAGAAGTTTTCTCCTGTTTGTGCACTAGGGTTTTGTGCTTTTTCTTTTGAATTCCCGTTGGGTAGATAATAATTTGACACCTTCATGGTAATGAACCTGTAGTTGAGTTGTATTATAAACTCTTTTATGTTAGAGGCCAGTGCAGTAGCCTTTGTTTTTTCTTTTTGTCTTTCCATTCTGACTGAATGGGCAGAAAAGCAAACATTGAAACAGTGTTTCAGCCAAATTTCATATATAATGCCATTGGGAGAGTATTGACTAAAATAATTCCAGTCAGGGAAATATAGTTGTGATATTTTTGCAGAATTTTCATAAATAAATGAAGGAGCCTTCAGTTATATAAATTTCAATTGTTCCAAAATGTATTTGCTACATTTTGCTGTTGTTTGAAGTATTACCTCTTAACCTTGTTAATTTGTATTCATTTTGTCTTGTATAGTTCAATTTTCCAAGATAAATTCAGCCTTTTTTTAAATGTTGCCTTTTTTTAAATGTTACCTTTTTACCAATACTTTTTCATTAAATTATGAAAACTGTTAGCTGCTGTCAGTTGTCGGTTTTTTTTTTTTTTTTTTTTTTT